AATAAAAGTACACAAAAGTAACTTTAAATAATGTGATCATGGGGGCACTGAATTTTTTAATCTCCCCAACCTTCTCCAACCAGGAGTATAAAAACAAAACAAAAAAAAACAGCACCAAAACCAAAATAATAGGAAACAAGCCCAGAGAGAACACCTTCAAAACAACTACATTACAGGCAATCTTCAAAAAAAAAACCCCTATAATATGGTTTTATTATCAACAGTGACAAGACCTACAAAAGATCAAAAGCTGTATGGTAGGAGCATGGTATGTATGTATGATAGGTATGGACAACTTACTACTATTCTACAAGCCACACAAATGAAAAAAGTATGAATTGGCTGAATCCACAAATGGCCTACAAAACTAGGGCAGTCTCAAAGGCTCCAAATCAAAGATAGGTCTTAAAAGCTGCATGCAAATGTGACATTAAACAAGTCTAACAGTCTACAACCTCAAAATCTCTGAAATACCCAGCAAACATCCTCTTCTAGGAGGGAAAAAACCTCACACTGAAGGATAATCACCAGAAACTAAAACTGAATTGAACAGGGCAGAAACAATAGGGGTAAGAGGAAGAGAAGATACAGATAAAGGGGAAGGGTGGGGGTGATGAGGAAGGCAGTGATGCCTACAGGCAACAAATCCCAGAAAGAATGAATGAAAGGAAGAAACCTAACAACAAAATGCAACATTTAAAGCTAAGAGCAACAACTCAAAATTCAAGATCTACACAGCTCAAGGGCTGAAGCCAGAAAATCTTTCTCAATCAGACCTAGTTCTAAGAAAGACTGCATATACACAGAGGTCATATTTAAGTTCTCTGTAACAAAGAGGAAGCCATAAAAAGACGAGCTGGGAGAGTTATTATATCCTAGCTCTGACATTCTCACTCCACAAAAACCTCCTCCTAATAGAAACTATCTGATTTCACAAGAAAGAAAGAAAGAAAAAAAAAAAAAAGAATACAGACTAACTTCATAAAAAAGCACTACAGAGGAAAAAAAAAGAAAATACCAAAAATGACAGAAAAGGATTTGAAAGAAAATGAATGATACAAAAAGGTGGTGGGGCGCCTGGGTGGCGCAGTCGGTTAAGCGTCCGACTTCAGCCAGGTCAGGATCTCGCGGTCCGTGAGTTCGAGCCCCGCGTTGGGCTCTGGGCTGATGGCTCAGAGCCTGGAGCCTGTTTCCGATTCTGTGTCTCCCTCTCTCTATGCCCCTCCCCCGTTCATGCTCTGTCTCTCTCTGTCCCAAAAATAAATAAACGTTGAAAAAAAAAAAAAAAAAAGGTGGTGAGAAAGGAAATCCAATAAACTTACATCCTGGAAAAAAAAACTTTAGTAATTAAACAGAAAAATTATTTAACACTATAATTCTAAAAGCAACTCCTCAAATTAAGAGGATTAAATCCACATACTCAATGGGTCTACTGTGCATTTGGGAAAACTGACCCAATAATAATCAATAAAACATACCGTAGTAAAACTACTGGATTTTAATGATAAAGGAAAAATTCCTTTGGACATCCAGACAAAAAATCTAAGTCACTTAGGGAAAGAAAATCAGTATGTATCAGACTTCTTGATAGCAATATTTTATCCTAAAACACAATGAAACAATATTTTTAAGATACTTAAGCCAAGTAGATACGTAAGCCAAAGGTTGTATAAAAAGCCCAACTATCCTTCAAATATAAAGACTACTGAGAGATAAGTTTATAAACATGCAAGATGTAAAAAGGTATGTTTTCCCATGAACCCTTCCTGGAGAATCTCATAGAGACAGCTTCAGAAAACTAAAAAAAGAGAAGTTTCAGATAAGCTCTGACAAGTAAGCAAAGCACAAAACCTTTGTTATATAATCTGGTTAGTTTACCTTTAGGCTTTTCTTCCTCCCTTTTAATGACTTGAGATACCTCTAATTAATAATACACTCAACTCACATACCCAATCTGCTTCTGAAATACATTATGCAATTTGTTTACCTTTCCTGAATTTTTAGAATTACTTTTTATTTGCCAAATGCCAAACTACTGAAATTTCCAGATGGTAAGGCTAATTATAGGATCAAAATAGTAATGGACTTCTTTTGTAGAACTGTATTGTTTTTTTGTTTTTTTTGTTTTTTTTTAATAGGCTTCACGCCCAGCACAGAGCCCAATGTGGGGCTTGAACTCACAAACGTGAGATCAAGACCTGAGGTGAGATCAAGACCTGAGCTGAGATCAAGAGTCAGACGCTTAACCAACTGAGCCACCCAGTTGCCCCAGTAAGACTTTTTTTTGAAGAAAGAAAAAGAACAAGTGATCCTACAAGTTAATTCTACAGAGTTAAAACACGTCTGATTAAGACCCAAAGGCATAAAAGTTAAATGACAGACATGTGGCTTTGTAGTCTGCTGAAACAAAAACAAGTAAGAAATACATTAACTGACCTATAATGAATGACAACATAAAATGATCAATACTGACCTGATAAGCTCTGTTTATTTGACTAGCTGCCCAACTAGCATATTTCATGTTGTCCTTTTTTGTTTTTGCACTTGCTTTTGGATTAGAAGCAATATGACTTGCCGACTAAAAACAAAAAAGAAACATCAAAAAATTCCTTTCTTCTAGCCAAGATAATCAAAAAAACCATGTAAAGGTCATAATTGCATTGGGATAACAAAGAGTTTTTTAAAACTGTACCAAAACAAGTTTAACAATAAAAGTAAACTGGAATAGAGTTTTCAAAAATGAAAAAATATTTTTAAATATAGAATAAGGTAACAAAAAAAAGAATGAATATCTTACATAATATATAATTTATTTTATTAGCTGTCTACCACAACTCATAAAGGTAAAATTAAATACTTAAGTATTGTAGAATATCACTTAAATCACTTAAATATTGTAGGAAGATTGCTGGTCATTATTACTATGTTATTAAGTTATTATTTCTAGTTATTTATCACAGTATTACTTCAGCTATATCCTATGTCAGAATTACAGAATTATTGAATACTCGTAAGAAGGAATCTCAAAAATAATTTAGTCCAACTTCCTACATTAACAGGTGAAAAAAACTTAGGAGTGATGTGACTTGACCAAAGCAAGTTAATGAAAGCCTTACAAAAAGAAAGAGATCTTCATTTCCAATCTACTTCTCTTTTCACTACATCCAGAGTTTCCAAACTATGTTCCACAGCACCAGTTAAAATCACTGCAATTTGATCCATCCTAATCTAGGATCCATGAAAGAATATGTACACCCCCAAAATTATATGCTTACTTTTAAGTATTTATACACACATTTCTTGGGAGAAGATCTTTTATATTATGCTTAAATATGTCTTAATCTTACGAGGCTCTGTCCATGTTATTAAAAACAAATTAAGCCTTTCTTTCATACTTAGCCTGTGTTATAGGCTCTTTCCCTCTATCACCTCCTCTATCAATCAGGAATTTATATGCCAAAATCTTATATTTACACCTTTATGTCTTTCATGTCACCTTTTTTGGTATGAATTTCAGCAAACAGAGCAATTAAAAGAAGGCCTCTGGACTCAACTGCTTGAGCTGATATCCCAGTTCAATCACTCAGTAGGTCTGTAACTATCCTTCCACAAATTAATTAGATCTCTCTGCATCTTAGTTTCACTTTGTGTGAAACGGTGGTAATAACAGTATCTTCTCAAAAAGGTGATGTGAAGATTCAATGATTTAAATTTTAAAAAGAGCTCAAAAAAATGCTTAGCACATAAAGTGTTATGTGTAAACTATTAATAATCTATTGTTATATATATGTTTATTAGTATTTCATTTATTTGGTAAAAAGAGTCACCGTTACTATATTGTATGTCCAAGCCACTACAATTGGCACTGGTAGATCCAAGAAAAATTTCTTGAAATTCCTCTGAACTGTTTTCTAATTATATTTTGTCATTCTTTTCCTGAAAATTATTTCATTTATGTTTCTTCCTTTCTCCATCTCTGCAACGAATTCTCTTTCACTAAGCCTTAACAAGAGATTCATCCAAAAGTCCATGAAAAGACCAGGATAAATTAAAATTTCAAAGAACTAGCTTATTAAAAAAAAAAAAAAAGTTTTCTGACTGTAGAGAGAGGGGCTCATTTTATGTATATTTTAAAGCTCAGCAAATTCTTCCTCTATTTCCCATAGCCCTTGTTAATTGACTTTTCTAAGCTTGTCATCTGGCATACATAAACCATAGAAATATTTAATTACATGCCTCCCATAATTTCCAAGCTCTTCTTCTGTACCATATAAGAAGTTTATATTTGACAATAGAGATTTTATTTTCTAATGTCTGTTACTCCATAATTTAAAAATATGTCATAAAATTTAAGGTAAGAAAAACAAAAATGATGGACATAAACCCAAGAATATCAAAACAATTAAGATATATACAATATGGTTTTGTATCTGTTACTATTTAATAAGGGCAGACTTAAATTCTGATAAAAGATTTTTTAAAATAAAATGTCAAATATCCAGGATATATTAACTTTCAAAAATAAAACTGCCTTACAACCTATTGCTCATATTTAACTAGAGGGGAAAAAATATGCTATCAACAAAACACAAAAAACAAGACAGAAATGAATGGATGGGATAGACTTAATGGGTTTAAATGACAGAATTCAGAAAATAACATTAAACATGCACCTCTACTCACCATGTAAAGCCCAAACAAAGCTCTCATATTTCTGTTGTTCAGTTTCAATGCCTGTGCAAAATACTTTCGTGAAAGTTCGAGGTTTTCAAGTCCACCTTGAGTATATTTAACCTGTTAAAAATTGCAAAGTGCTGAAATCTGTTTATTTTACTACTTTGAAATACAGCATGTTTCATCATACCACAGGCATGAGTAACTAAAACAGATATTCTGTAAACAAATGCAAGATGTTAAAAGAATTCATCTTAAAGTTGTTAAAGTTAATCTAAATTTTAAAACATAACCTCCCCTGAAAAGCCTATTCTATGAACATTAAGATCAGAGTAGTTTTTAAAACAAAATGCTGTCATTAAAAAAGCCAACGTAATTTCTATTTCAACTGCCTTGCAAATGCCTCACAACTTTATATTTTCTATCACTAGCATTCTAAATCCACAGGTAAACACTGAGTCATCCTTTTCTAGCTACCTTGACATTTCTTAATAACAAAATCCTTCCAACATAGCATTCAACTGTGTACCATTATTCTTACTAGTGAGATAAATACTTGCTACTTCCAAAACTACTGATCTTAATATGAATTTCCTAGAATATGGAGTTAAAAATCATAATTGTTATAAATGTCTCAGAAGCCATTAAATGGTGACAGCTGTGACATCATCGTTCATAATTAGGAAATAAAATAGTATATAATAAAAAAAAATTCACTGTTTGAAATGCTTTTATTTTTAAAGTCATATTCCTATTACAGTGTTAAAAATTTAAAACTTTTACTCATACAGTTAATTTTCATCGGATGTGTTAAATATTTATATACTTGCCTCATACTAAATAGGACATATTTCTAGTTCTAAAATAATACATAACACCCACAAAAATAAAATCATATACAACTGTTGTTTCTGAAAACACTTACTTCAGCATACTGCTGACAGTATAAGTGGTTGTGTGGATTAGTCATCATTAGCTCTTCTAAGCAAAAGGCTGCCTTAGCATAGCTGAAAAATGAGGAGTAATCAGTTTTAAAACTCAGAAATATCATCGTAGCTAAAATAACTTAAAAATAATTAAAAATAACTTAAAACAATGATTGAAAATAACTTTAAAACAATTTTAGTGATGTTAGACATTTTATTCCCAAAATTTAAATAGCTTTACTAATAAAATACTTGTTATGCTGAATTCATAAATACAAATAACAAATGCTTAAATCCTAAAGCAGCTTATGAACAATCAGTAGATACCACCATCTTAAAACTGGGTCACCATTATGACATCCAAACGTTATTCACAACACAGACTTCACGACCTTGGAGTGGGCTACATATAAAATAACATCAAGTCCATTGATCACTGAATTAAATATTCAAATAGCTAAAGTGTAATGAGGAACATTTTATTAAATAGTATCTATTCACAAAAATCCTTATTGATACATACTTACTAATATATTCTATTACAAAGACTTTTTATTACTTGTTTGTCAAATACAAAATTATAATGAAGTTATATATTTTTAAACCCATGAAAAATAGATGAAGTTAGTGGTTTCGATATGCACTCTACTATTATTTCATCATGTGGTACAGGGACAAGCATCTTGCTAAAAACCTGAGGAGAGAACTGCTACAAAGGGTTCTGGAAAAATAGTTTTACACCACATGACTGTAATTCCCCTTAATGTATTTTATATGTTTAAAGTGATGTGCATCCTCAGCATTTATAGGAAATCCTAAAGAACACAGGTGTTACAAGATTTATTCCCAGTGAAAAGGTGGTAATAGTACCTAACAGAAAAAGGCATCTCCAGTTATTTTTGGCATTTGTCACCAATGTACAAAGCTACCTATCTTTACACTAAGTCTGATATACTGTTCAAAATACACATGCTGCAGTTTCACATATATGTAAGTGACTAATAACAGCTACCTTTTATTACATGCTCTTTATGTATCATGCACTTCTCCAGGTATGTTATATGTATTAACTCATTTAATCCTCCCCAAACCCTAGGAAGGAGGAAATTATTATTATCATTTTATAGTTGAGAAGGCACAGAGATGCAAACTGAAACCTAGGCTGTGCCACTCCAGACAGCCTACTCTTAACCACTATGCTTACTGTCTCTATGCACTGCACACAATGAAAAACCATGGTAATGATGGTAGTGATGAAGATGTCAATGATAACATAAAAACAGGTACAACAATCAAACCCAAAGGGCCTCAGAAACCAAAAGCACCCTATAGATGACCTAAATATCACAGCGTTTTAGATTTATGTATACATACTATTATCAAGGATCCTACAGCTGTTTAGTCCTTTTCATTTTTATATCCAAAATGCAGCACTGGTTCTTGACATGTGATAGGTATATAATAAATCACTAAACAAATAACTGAATAAATATCTAGAACAAAAGTATTATGATTACCTATCTAATATCATTCTATGAGAGATGAGGAAAGTTTACCTTAAACACTCAACTTTACCAAAAAGACAGTTCCCTTCTAAATGTGTTCCTTTTATCAAGATGATGCAAAAATTCATATTAATGCTAAGAATAAATGTTCTTACAGATTTAAATAGGCTGAGCACAACTCTCATTCTGGTTCTTATACATCACAGAGTAAGATAAAATAGGCAGGTAGGAGTTTCTACTGAAAACTGAATGCCAAGGTATTTTTCTCAAAATTATTTAGTATCACAAAGAAGAGGGTACCTTTCCCCTGTTTTACAAAGTATAAAATCATACTAATTTGGTGGATAAAGTATAAAATCAAATAAACTTAGAGCTGAAAGAAGCAAAAGACAGTCTAATACAGTTATCACAGCAGCAGTTCACTCAAGAGTATTAAACCATATGGAAAGTAACTTGAGTGACTATTTCCTCAATTCTCCCAAGAATGGTACCTAGCCAATTTCATTCCAAATGCATAAAAAAGATAATTCATTACATACAATAACTCAATGGTTAGAGAATTAAAATTATTTGAATCTATTTAAAATAACTACTATAGTATGTCAGTGACTAAATAAAGTTTTCCAAGTTCTTCCGTTCCTCACAAAAGCATTTATATAGATCATATTTATCCCTGCATTGCTTTATCAACTTTATGATTTTTCCTTATGGGATATTGATAATTCCATCTGTTACCAAATTTTATAGTTAAGGCTGGACCTACATATAGTCACAATTATAATTAGTTTATATTACTAACTGCTTCTTGCTGATATAACATCTAGTTCTGACTATAAATCAAGGGGAAAAAATCAGGTATCTTTGTTCAAAATACATATTTTCCTTTATAATTTGTATTGGTGGTGCTAATATATACATTTTAACTAATTTTTTATATTTAGAACAAGTAAAATGTCTCAATATGGTCAACTAGTGTGATATATACCACTACAATCACTAAACAGGAACTATAATCAGAAATTTATAAATCAAATTTAAAAACAAGAAGCAAAATTAAATGTAACTTTTTAAAGATATAAAAACACACATGGCAGAATTCCATATCCTCTTTAACCTCTCTAACACAATGAATAGGCTTATATGAACATTCTATTTTGGAAATGTATTTGGAGTAAAAACTCTAGATCTAGAGTAGCAATGCTGCCTGTGACCTATTCTACTTAAAAGAGCTTATAACTACTACTCCTAGGCAGAAAGAATGCCAAAATGATAAATATATCTAGCAACTCCTAATTTGCTACATTTTGCCACTATCCCCACAAAACTGTAGAGACATTCTACAGAAGTTTCCTCTTCTACCAAAAATAAACAACAACAAACCTAACTACCACAGCAACTTGTGCAAACAGGTTAAATTAATTAAATGAACAGATTCTGATTTTCATATAGTTTCAAAAAATCTGGAGATATTTCCACTCACCCTAAACCTGAATATTCCCTCTGTATTCAATTAAAAAAACTAAATGGTCATTTTGTAAATAACTAGCTTTAAGACCAGAAAGAGTTCTGTGATACAAGATAAAAAGGTAGGCTGAACAACTGAAAAATCCCAAGAAATCGAGAAACACAAAGACAGAATAAGTACCTAAAATGTAATTTGTTCTCAGCGGAAATGATAATTTTCTGTCTTTGTATTTCTTGATTTCTTGGCATTTTTCAGTTCATTTCTCTTAAGTATATGTATATTCAACTCTATCTCAAAGAAGTCTTTAGATTCAAAGAAAAACTGAATGTGGCTATTACAAGGTGAAACTAATAATAATAATAATAAACTTAATTATGGGTTAAAAATAGAGTATGATCTATTTTAGAACTAAATACAGAAATATAAGAAATACATACAAAAAAGTAACACCGAGAAAGAAAACAGAAAACTGAGGTGATACATTTATGTAGTTCTTAGAGGACATGAAAGCAATCAAAATTGAAATACATATAAAAATATGAAATTTTTGTAAGTTAAAAGAATCAATGTTAAAAAGATACATATCAAACAAGGATATACTTTTGACAGGACAAAGGTTCATATCATTTATATAGTATACATGTTGCCAAAATGAGCACTCACATCATTTGTATAAAAACCTATTAAAAATTTATAAAAAGTTTTAACCAATTTCCACTTCACAAAATTTATGAAGACTAAAAAGAAAAGACTAAAAAGAAAAGAAAAGACTAAGCAGCCAGTGTTAAGGGGACGCTAATAATTTCTGATGTGAGAGTAAATTTCTAGTGAACAACATTTACCAAAACCACTAAAAATGAGCATATAATCATGTAATTTTACTTCTAAGAATTAAGACCAGGAAACAAAATAATTAGCATAGCATTATAGCAAAAATGAAAAACAAAAACAAAAGACCAAGTTTTCCATTCCCGTAGGAAACTGGTAAAGAATACTAGAGCACATTAATAAGATGGAATAATAGAAAGCTACTAAAATATTTATTGTGATAAGGAATGTATGTCAAAACATAACAAAGTAAAAAGAATAAGCTATAAAAGATAATTCTATTTTAGGTTTCTGTTTCAAAAGGTACAGAGGAAAAAAATCAAATATAAATTGTAGATAAGTTGAGAGGATGATCCAATTAGGATTTTGGTCTCTGTCTTTACTCTTTGTTGCATTTTCCAAACTTTCTTCATTAGATATTTAATTTAAAAAAAATGCCTTGATTAATATGAAGTGTTTTTAAATGCCTTTAATCTCAAGATCTTCAAAAGACGCTAAAATATTTGAAATAACTGTCATCTGTTTTAAGGACAAAATAGAACGAATGTTAATTGTTGTACTGCACTCCAAAAATTCAGCTTCATGTTAAACTATATACTGTACACTTT